GCAGACCAAGAAGGCACAGGGTCCTTTTCATAGTGTGGTAGTGTTTGCTACAAAAAGCATCAGACACAGTATTTGAAAGAGCATACCAATGTCGAATGCCCGCATCCCACCTTCCTCTTCACCCCACAAAGAACTAAATGAGATTATTTCTTGAGGCATATCCTATGTTGCGGATATGAAACTAGGCATAGCAGAAAGTACAGTCTCTCTTCCTATATCTCAAGAAATTATACCATCTGGTTTCCCACTTCCCCTCCCCCTTGCTCTCCAACTCTATGCCACCTCCTCTGAGTGACAACCTCAACCGCCTGGATGCAGAAGTCTGGAACATTCTCCCCCTCCCATCTTCACCAACCCCCTGGCTCCCCAGCCACACCCTGTCAGTCACCAGCTCCTTTCAGTTCTCCTGGAACACTCTCTCCACCACAGCTACCACTTCCCTAGTTCACCTTGTCACGATCGCTCACCTAAATTTCTGCAACAAATGGCCAAATTTATCTCTCTGCCTTCAGACTCCATCTCCCTCCCCCCACCAGCCTGTTCTCCAGTCTGCAGTTAAAGGAACCTTCTAAAATGCATGCCTTTATTCAAAACCCTTCACTTCCCGTTGCTCTCAGGACCAAGCCTAAACACATACACTGAAATATTTCACTCTTCTCCCCTGTGCCTTTGCACATCTAGTTCAAGGAACCATACTCCCTCCTCTGGGAGTGGGTGGGAGTGGGTTCCCCCCCTGGCAAGCTCACTCAGCAGAAGCACCAGGAACCCTTCCTAGGTCCCCACGCCCTTGCCCAAGTCAGGGCTGGATGCTCCTCCTGGGGCCTCCAATAGCATCCTAGGCTTCCCTTCAAATAGCACCTGTCAGTCAGTCACAAATGCCCTGGTCTCCATCCCCGTCTCTGTCGCTCTTGTGGGGTGGGGCCTGCCTTCCTGACTCAGGCTGCAGTACCTAGCTCAGCGCCTGCCCCTAAGTCAGCTCTTGGGGATGCTGTTGAGGGAATTCCCTTGTATGCAGACCCACCAGGGGCAGGTCCTGCTGAGCACCCCCTTCCCAAGTCAGAAGCAGCGTTGGTCTGAAATGAAGTGCCACCGGCATGATGGCTGTCTCTCCGCACAAATGGCTGGCGAGGGCCTTCTTTCCTTAGGACGTGAGTGGGGCCCGCAGGGCTGCTATCCCAGCTCTGCCCTCATTGGACCTGCACTCACCGGCTTCCCGCAGAACTTGTGGGAGGTGTTGGCCGGGGAGGAGAGGAGGGCTCATGTGTTGGGGCGTCTGCTGCCTTACCCTGATGACCATACTTCGGTTCTGTCCCACAGTTCTCTTTCTGACGCAGAGGAGAGCGCAGATCAGTGAAACCTTGAAGCTCAGTATAGCCAAAGGGCTCACGCAGGCATTGCGCAAGGCTTTCCACCAGAATGACGTCTCGGCTCACGTAAGCCCCTTGCTTTGTCATCCGTCTAATCCGGTCTGGTCTTCCTCGGGGGACCAGAGTAGGTTCAGATCATTTTCCTCCCCCCCCCCGCCCCCCCGGGTACCATAGCCACGGAGCATCTTTTTTTTTTCCATTTTGGCAAATAGTTCACGTGTTGTTGTTGGGGGAAAAGGTCAAATCTTGAGGTGGAAAATTGAGACTAATTGCCTTATGTCCGGATTTTTCTTAAAGCCTGGATATACTGTTTTAATTGGTCCTATTATCCCATTGTCTGGGAAAAGTATTTAGTAATTGTTCGTGTAATTCTCCAGAAATCATCCATTACTTCTTCCTTTATCTTCCCCGCCATTGTAAATAGTTAATGATTTAGTTCGGGACATTTAAAAATTACTCTGACTTGTAATTGAGTCCAACTTTGCTCAAATTGCCAGCAGCAGACGGGGAAGTAAACACTTTTTTTTCCCCCCTCCAAACACTCTAATGCCAAGTACTATTTAACAACTGCTCGCTGTGATGGAAGCCTCACTTTACACGCTTTTGGTTTGATTCCAAGTTTTAAAGCAGTAAATGCAATTGGCAGTCGGTGGGCAACCCTTTGCAACACTTGGAACTGTTGCTCTGGCCTCTTCCTTTGATGTTTTGTTCTGCAGCTGCAGTTGGCTTGGTGGCCCTCTACCCCCACTACCACACCAAGGACTAGGAATAAGGTTTGGTACATAATTTGCTGGCCGTTGTCAGTCTCTTTTATATAATTTTGAAAGAGAGAAAAAGAAAGAAACGCATTTCATGTGAGGCATCTGTGGTTTCTGTGGCAGAAACGTTATTTCAAAGTGGAAAACGTGGCCCAGCCAGCGTGGCTCAGTGGTTGAGCATCAACCTATGAACTAGGACGTCATGGTTCAATTCCTGGTCAGGGCACATGCCCGGGTGGCGGGCTCAAAACTCAGTGTGGGGTGGGCAGGAGGCAGCTGATCAATGACTCTCTCTCATCATTGATGTGTCTATCTCTCTCTCCCTCTCCCTCTCCCTTCCTCTGTGAAATCAATAAAAATATATTTTTTAAAAAAAGAGAGAGTGACAAATGTGAATGTTTCTATTGGTTGCCTGATACAGGTTCCACTAAACTTCTCTCATTTGCAAATGACCTTCGTAGTTTTTGCCTTTTCTGCATCTCCTCACAGACTGCTGTGACAGAATGTATTTTTTTTAATTGGCTCATTCTTAAGAACTTCAATACATATCTTTTGAAAGGATGTTTGCTATTACCACCACAAATGGAAGTCCCTAAGAAAAGGGAATCATAAAAGTGAGAATAATGGAAGCAGCTTGTTAAATTCAAGCTAGACATGGTTGGCAAAAATGTGATTGTAAGGATTAGAGGGGTGTTAAAAGTAAGTACTCCCCAAACTGAGACTCGGTCCTTGGGGTAATGAGAAGGACAGGGGCAGGAGTCACTTTCTCTCTGGCATCCCTACTGCTGTGTCCATGCTCCATCCAGAAGTAGCTTGTTCCACCGAAAGCCACCTTTAAACAATTTTTATTTTATTTTCCAGTGACAGTTTATATTCAATATTACTTTGTATTAGTGTCAGGTGTACAGCATAGTGGTTAAACAATCATATACTTCACAGAGTAACCCTCCCATATTTCCAGTACCCACTCGGTGCCATACGTAGTTATGACAATATCATTGACTATATTTCCTTTGCTGTTCTTCACATCCACGCGACTCTTTTGTAGCTACCAATTTATACTTCTTAACCCCTTTAACTCTTCCACCCAACCTCCAACCTCCCCTCCCCTCTGGCAACCATCAGTCACCTAAAGCCGCCCGCCCGTCTGGAGCACCACCTTTGGAAACCAAGTGTGGAGGAACCAGAGGCACAGCCAGCCTGTTGCAAAATCAGTTTTCTTGAACTCTTGGGCAAATGCATGTGACACTGCTAATGGAGATGCCAAAATAAGGGGGGAAAGTGGGTGTTTAAAACACCCTGACTTATAATGAACAACATAAACTGATGAACAAAAACAGATCCAGAGACAGAGAAGCATCGATCAGACTGTCAAACCTCAGAGGGAAGGCAGGGGAGGGTGGGGGTAAAAGGGAGAGGTCAACCAAAGGACTTGTATGCATGCATATAAGCCTAACCAATGGACACAGACGCCAGGAGGGGGAGGGCATGCGGAGGTGTGGGGGAGGGCAATGGAGGAATAAGGACACATGTGTAATACCTTAATCAATAAAGAAAATAAAGAAACCACAAAAGAACACCCTGACTTGTTAATATAAAACACGAAGAAAGCAAAAATAAATAGTAGAATCTAAAGCCTCAAAACCTTCCAATTGGGTTAAGAAGAGCTCAGATTATCATATCTCTTAGGACTCGGCTCTAAGAGAAACTTTCTCCATGGCCCACCCCCACCTCAATCTTGAACCAACTACATGTCAAGAATGGGGTGGCGTCTAAACCATTCTTCTCTCAGCTTCTAGAGAGAGGAAGTCACCTCATATACTGTTTGACCCCTGTCCTGAAAGTGCCCCCACTTGTTCTCTCACTTCTGCCTTTTAATTTCCGTAAATGATGAGCAATATAATAAAGCTATTTTTTAGCACGCCATTTCCTGGAAATCTGTTTTGCCTGCCATCTTGGGAGATAATTGGTGCTCACAGGATTATCCTGAATCCCTTAAGGAATCAAAAAGGCACAGATTTAATTCTGTTCCATGTAGGTTCAATATAGTTTATATTTTGTTGTATTCTGATATTTTGAGACTTGCCAATCTACGTCTGCTTTATAGGGTTGTTAGAATATTTGTTGAACGAGAACATCCTCTTCCCCAGCCGTGCTAAATGGTCCTAGGAAACACCAAGAACTTAAAGTGGAAACGAGCACTGAGTTCTGTGGGTCCGTTTGTTTTGCAGGTGGACATTCTGGAACATTCTCATAACGTCACAGTTGGTTACTATGCCACCAAAGGGAGGCTGGTGTACTTGCCTGCCGTGGTGATCGAAATGCTGGGAGTTTATGGGGTCAGCAACGTCACTGCAGATCTGAAGCAACATACCCCAAACTTGCAGTCCGTGGCGGCACTCGCCTCCCTGTGGCATCCCCAGCCTGCAGGCCACTTCCAGCTGAAAACAGGCAAGTAGCTCAGGACGAAAGGATTCTTTCGGTTCTGGGACCGGGGGCAGTGCCAAGAAGACACCCGTTTTAAAACTCCATTGCTAACTGCTCTGTCATCTCTTGTTCCTTCCCCAAAGGGCGTGCTAATCAAATGCCCAAGTGCCCTGCACATCAGCCTAATTTTTTCCTGGATTTACTAGAAATATTTCTTCACAGGAGCCTTTCTTCCTACCGTATATAATTGGTACTTTTGTGCACCAAGTACTGTAGTTTTTGGGGTTTTTTTCTGTATTATGGGTACTGATAAGAGCTAAGTAGCCATAAAATCTATGCTTTGGAGCAACACATTGCAGATGCCACTGAATTAGAATCTCTGAGCTTCTGCCTTGGGATCTTTCTCCCAAGGTTCCTGCTGATTCCAAACCACAAGCATAGAGAAACCATTGAAATGGAAAGACTCAGTCAACTTAGTCATGCAGGTTATTTGATTATTTCCCCCCTCCAAAGAATCAGAAGGCATTGTGATGCCTTGGGTTATTTTTTTAAAGTATCTTGGAGCAGGTGTCTCCATATTCCAATCAAATGAAACCACAAAATCCTTTGCATTGGGAGGGCCTCGGGTCTCATCACACTTTCAATTCTTCTGGGTTATAAATCATGTTCAGAGCCACATCTGAAACTACAGCCAAACCTTGTCTCCCTTCCTTGCCTGATTGCTCTGATGTAAAAATTGTGGTTTTATATTATGACGGCTATTAAGCCCGAGTGCGGATTTATGACTCTCGTTCTAGTGCTTCAGTTTGTGAGCCAGTCCGACAACATACAGTCCTGCAGGTTTGCTCAGACGATGGAGCAGAGGCTACAGAAGGCCTTCCAGGATGCCGAGAGGAAGGTGCTGAGTACCCAAAGCAACCTGACCACTCAGGTGAGGAGGGCGCTTGAGCCGTGTGGTCGATGGAGGCCGGTCATAATGCAGACAGATGTTGGCAAGAGGCGACTTGGTCCCCCGTTTCAAAGCTTCCTGGGGTGGATGTTACTTTGTGCTTTGGGCGTGTGATGTAGGCAGGAGACGGTGCCACTCTGGGGCCACAGAGTCGAGTCAGTCCCGGCACCGGTGAGGCTGTCTGGGATATGGGTGCTGTGTCGCTCTCTACCTGCTTGTGGTTTGGGATTTTATATTTATTTTCCCATGTGAAGATGCCTCAGGCCTTTCCAATACATTCATTATTTTTAAAAATTGAACTGGAATATACTATATATGATATGTCAGATGTCTCATATAAAATGAATCATTTTTATTTTTATTTTTTATTTATTTATTTTTTAAAATATATTTTATTGATTTTTTTACAGAGAGCAAGGGAGAGGGATAGAGAGTTAGAAACATCGATGAGAGAGAAACATCGATCAGCTGCCTCCTGCACACCCCTACTGGGGATGTGCCCGCAACCAAGGTACATGCCCTTGACTGGAATCGAACCTGGGACCCTTCAGTCCGCAGGCCGACACTCTATCCACTGAGCCAAACCAGTTAGGGCTGAATCATTTTTAAATAGCTAACTCACTAAGATGTGCCTTTTCTGTGATTTTCATTGAGTCATTTTACAAATATCCATGTGAACAGTCACCTTACTTTACACACACACACACACACACACACACACACACACACACAGTATATTTAGGGCTTCCTATGTGCCAGGACTGTGCTAGGTGTTTAATGAATGTTTTGCTACATAATCCTTAAAACTTCCTTCTGAGGTTTATCATCACCATTTCACAGACGAGGAAACTGAGAGAAAGGTGAGAAACTTCCAGAAGGTCACATGGTTGGTAAAAAAATAGAACAAAGACTTGAGCCAAAGCCCATACTGTGATTCATCATGCTACACTGGCATCAATGCAGTGCAGAAATGGGGCCCTTGGTGAAACTTTTGACAAACACATGGATTATTTCCCAGGAAAATCCCACTCCTGGTTTACTATATTTCAGTTTCCTGGATTTTCAGTAGATATGCTATCAAAAGCCTTTCTCAGACCCATTTTTTTTTGAAATTGTGTAGATACCATCCCACTAAAGACAGATGCTTCTTAATGGTATTTATCCAGCCACCAAATTTCTCTAATTAACTGAACAAGCCAATGTCTCTGTTTTCACTAAACCAAAAGCCTTTGCAATAAAACCCAGTGGTTTCGAAATTGACATTTAGCATAAGTGAATTATCAGCAAAGCCAAGACGATGTAGAAAGCATTCAATTTAATTTGAATGAGAAGCTTTCCTTTTCTAGATCAATCCAAAGTGCAAGTATCGCATTATGATTTGGTTTATTTTAGACTAAGATCTAAAAACGTGTCACAGACTTAAGATTTATGTAAGGAGTGTGACTCAGCTCTTTGGTGGGAGATCTTTTTTTTCTGATGGGATTTGGAACTTCATAAGTAGAACCTGCTTAGAGCTAGACTATGCTCTGTTCAGGAAGCACAGACCTACTGAGCACCTGCTAGTCAGGCCCTGGGAGAGACACCGAGATAAAAAAGCGGCCCTAGGCTTTCGCAAGGAAGAGACCTTTCTTGGAAAAGACTACAACAGGCAATTTGAAAATTGTATCTAAGTAGATTTTGAATGCTCTTGAGAGTATCAACAGCTTTTTTTTAAAAAAAAATATGTTTTTATTGATTTTTAGAGCGAGAAGAAGGGAGAGGGCTAGAGAGCTAGAAACATTGATGGGAGAGAAGCATCATTGATAGGCTGCCTCCTGCATGCTCCCTTCTGGGACTCGAGCTCACCACCCGGGCATGTGTCCTGATCAGGAATCGAACCCTGACCTTCTGGTTCATAGGTAGATACTCAACCACTGAGCCATGCTGGCCAAGCAACAGCTCTTTTTAAAAAATCTTTATTGTTGAGAGCATTACATAGGTCCTCCTTCACAGCTCTAGAAATGAACGGCTAACTAGGTGAATTGGTTTATTAAGCCCGTTTCTCTTCTGCCTTGACTGACAGGAAGCCCAGAGACAAAGTTGTTGCCTGGGTTTAGTAACCCTCATAGCCCCTGTGTCATGCATAGAGAGCTGTATGGTAGCCATTCCCCTGGGATTGTCTTTAATCTGTTTTTCCAGAACCTGGTTTTGTAATTATAACTTTCCATTTTATTGTGTTAAATATAATTTGTGAAGCACTTTGGATTCTCTGTGGGATAAGACCATGTAAATATTTAATTAATTTGTTTAGAGAATTATTGAAAATGTGACTTACAATTATTTTTTTTACTTGTATAGCGTTGATATTAGAGGGTTGATATTAGAGGGTAGATTACAGTTGACTCAATTAAGAATTTTTGGTGCAGCCGTAGCTGGTTTGGTTCAGTGGATAGAGCATCAGCCTGTGGACTGAAGGGTCCCAGGTTCGATTCCGGTCAAGGGCACATGCCCAGGTTGCAGGCTCGATCCCCAATAGGGGGCGTGCAGGAGGCAGCCAGTCAATGATGTGCGTGTACTTCATGCCACCAAACTGTACACTTAAAATGGTAAAATGTATGCGCTTTACCACAATAAAAATGTATGAAACGGATGTAATGTCATATGTCAGTTATACTTCCATACGAATATTCTTAGCTTAAAAAGGTATAATCGTTATCAGAGGATTACACACACGGGATTCCTCCATTGCAGTGGGACTGGCATTCTTGGGATGCTGCTGGATGAGTATTTCGGGAGGTCCCCACGGGAAGATGAAATGTGGTAAAAGGCTTCTTTTCCTGGAGTTACATTCCTCGGGTTGTATAAAGTCCCATGTCCCTTAACTCAGTCCTGAAAACGGAGCAGGTGGGGCTTTTATACAACTAAAAGCAAAGCCAGTGTCCAGAGTTTTCATTCCATGGTGGAGGGGGGTCTGAGGTAGCATCAGACTAGATTCAGTCCATCAGTCTGTTGTGTGGGTGAATGCAGGGTGTGGGAGCCCCTGCAAGCCAGGAGTTAGGCTCGAGCAGCAAGAGGGTGGGGTGGGGGAGGCTCCTTTGTTCAGGATCCTAAGTAGCAAATCTTCTCCAGCTTGCAGTGGCCATGCCTGTTCTAGCCACTGACTTGTTCCCAGGTGTGACTGACAGGTAAGCACCTTCCCACGGCACCCAGACCTTACTGAGCATGCGTCTATTGTCCAGTCCCTTCCCCAGCAATCTGCAGGGGATAGACTCGGAGAATGTTGATTGCAGCTTTCTGGCAACGCTGCATACATGGGATGCCTATATTTTCTAGCCTCCCTTTTACTCCTTTCCTGTTACTGATAAACAGCTTATTGTAACGGTATCATAATTACCTGGTCAAGTACAGTGTGCACAGAGGCACCCGTACTGCAGGCCGTTTGGGACCCAGTGGGTTTTGTTGAAAAGCGGAAAATAAAATGTTCACAATAGAGATAAAGGTTGGAGATAAAGGCTGTAAAGTTATTTTAGTGGTTACTTTTATGGGTCACAGTACAGTGAGGTCTTTTGAATTGTTGAGAAAGAAGTGGCTTTCTTTTTAGCAAGTTGAGAACGAGGCATCAATACCTGTGGCTAAAACCACATTCTAAAAATACTTTGCAGAGAGGAGAGTTGTAAGAGTTGACCAGCAATGTTGACTCTCTAGGTCATTAATGATGGGACTATATTATGTACTCCGTGACTATATAAGAGAATTTAAAAGGAACTTCCATGCATGGGGAAAGGTGGGAAATGACGTGAAGAAGGTATTCTTGACTGTCTTCTTCAAAGTAAGGTTAAAAGGAAAGTTGCAGGCATATGTATGTCTGAGCACACAGAGGCCTGGGAAGGACAGAGAGCAGCCAGCTCCTGGCAGGAAGAAAGGGCACACTCAAATGAAGACAATTTGAGGAGAGTTCAATAGAAGGGACCCTTTGCAGAAGCCTGGGCAGGCACTAGGGAAACCACAGGGACGGTGCAGTTCCCGAAACAGGAACAACTGGGGCTGAGGGGGCAGGGAAAGGAACAGTTACAGGAAGTCAGAGGCTTGAGTTGCCTAACGGGAGCTTTGACCCCACAGGGATGGAGTCCCCAACACCAATGCTCTGATCTCCCTCTCCCTCTCTCCACATCCTCCTGATCTCCCTTAAAAAAAAATTCTCACCAGAGGATATGTTTTTTATTGATTTTTTTTTTTTGAGAGAGAGAGGAAGGGAGAGAGGAAGAGAGAGAAGCATTGATGTGAGAGAGAAACATCGATTGGTTGCCTCCCATATGTGCCCTGACGGGGAATTGAACCTGCAACCTTTTGGGGCATGGGATGATGTTCCAACCAACTGAGCTACCCGTCCAGGCCCTGACCTCCCTTTAGCTGAAGCCAGAGGGCAAAGGAGCCCACTGGGGTGGTCTGGCCCACAAGGGTCTGCCTCTGGGGGCGCTGAGCAGGACAAGAGGGGTGGCAAGTGGATGGGGAGGAGGAAGGAGCAGACAAAGGCTGTCTCACCAAGTGGAATGACTTCCTACTGCATCTGTTTTTCAAATCTCATCTGTGGGATATTTTTGTCCATACCCTGACCCAGAAAACCTCGTTTTCCAGTAACGAAAAAACCGACTTAGACAAAATGCAAGAAGAAAAACACACCATCTCATACTTATATTTGCATGCTCTATATTGCACTCATAGGCCACCAGGAAATGCAATCACTCTCTAAAGAAGCTGTTGATGTTTCTGAATTTCTTTATAATCGGGTTCAGTCACTGTTTGTTACTAGGCTGGTGTTCATTTCCTGTCCTTCCAACTTAAAAATTCCCCCCAAATGTTACTTGAGCTTTTTCTATCTGAGCACGTGAGTCCTCCTTAAACTGAATATATCCGTGCTAAGAAATGAGGCAATCTAGCCCCTGGGGAAAATACACAGCAGGGGTTAGAACCTGCAAGACTGCCTAGATTTGAATCCTGGCTCCCTCACTTCTTAGCTGTGTGACCTTGAGCAAGCCCCCTGATCCTTCTGGGCCTCAGTTTCCTCCTGTAAAAGGGAATCCTAATCAGGTACACCTCCCGGGGTGGTGGTGAGGGTGAAATGAGATAAGGTGCCCTTCGCACGATGCCCGGCACGCAGCCCGCAATCAGTGAGTGACGACCGCTGTTATTCTTGTCTCTTCCTCGCTCTTTCCCCACCTCCCTTTCAGTCCTACCCTCAACTTCTGCTGAAACGTCTTCTCCCACGGCCTCCGTGAAACAGACCCTCATCTTATTTGGCATGTCTCCCTCCCCTTTCCTCCTGTGTCGATTCAGATTGTGAGCACGTCCAACGCCTCCCAGACCGTCACCTTGGTGTACGTGGTGGCCAACCGGAGCTCTTTCCTCAATGGCACCGTTGCCAGCAGCCTCCTCCGCCAGCTCTCAGCTGAGCTGGTGGGGTTCTACCTCACCTACCCGCCGCTCACCATTGCTGAACGTGAGTATGTCCCCGTCACGCTGGGACTCTGCCGGTTTCCTTAGGGGCCTTTCTCCATTTTGCAAACATCCATGGTGCCAGGCTGCATACTAAATCCTTTGTCTTAAAACAACTGGGATATGTGCTAACACAAAGATATAATTGATGACAAATTTATTATTGCACATTGAAAAAAAGCACTTGCTGGATGCCTTTGCTCTTCACATACCTCTTATCTCATTTACTCCTTACAACCACCCTATGAGGTAGGTGCAAAATTATTAGCACCATTTTGCTGATAAGAAAACTAAGTTTGTTCAGTTTAATAAAGCGTCTACACTTACACGGCTGGTCAGACATGGAATTTGAACCCAAGCAGTCTGCCTCTGAGTTTATAAGGCCGCCTGGCAGGGCACTTGCCCTTGCAGCGATATGGATTGCTATAATTTCCCCCGCTTCTATCATCAGCAAATGTCCCAGGGCCTTTAGCTCTGGCCCTGGCTATAGATATCAGTGCAGCTAATTTGCCATCAGCATCGTGACTTCCCTTGATGAAGAGCAGATAGCCCTGTGGCCTCGTCTTCCGTTAATGCCTCATGCATAATCCTCACCACCAGGCAGCAGGCGTAAGGCTTCGAAGACGATGCAGCCTACATTCTGTCTCCAGACACTTACTTGATACCCAAAGGAAGTAAAGGTTTGTGCTCTTAAATGTAACGATTGATCCTTTCCCAAGGTCACTGAGCAAGCGTTTTATAGAACACACTAGAGGCCTTCCTTCCCCCAGGTGCTGGCACCAGCTTCCCTCTGGCACCCAGGACTGGGCTTCCCTTGCAGCCCCGGCTTCATCCGGAAGGTCATCAGGAAGGATGTCCGGTCTAATTCGCATATTTTGCTTGTATTATTATAGATATTAGAAAAATCCTTTCTATGTCCTTCCATGGTTGCTTTTGATTCTGTAAACAAAGGAGAGGATGTGTGTGGCTATGCTTTAGCACAAGATAGCCATTCTGAATTTTTTTTTTAACGTTTCTTCAATAGCAAGCTTTTGTGAATTTCCGCGCAGTGAGGAAAGATAACTAGGTTTAATGGAAAAGGTGGTGTCATAAAGGAAGGCATCATGTCACCTGGCAGCAAGTGAAGAGTTTGTTTTCTTTCATCTTGATATTTTGATAATCACAACAGCTAAGATTTGCTGAGCACTTACTGTGTGCCAGGCGCTGTGCTAAGCCCTTTACATGTATTAATGCTGATGGTCACTGCACCTGTCAAAAGATGTTAGTTAACCAGCATTTGGCTGCTAAACTTAGTCCTTGACATTGGAAAAATACATGCGAGAGAGAATCGTTCCTAAAAATGGTAGTGCCGGTTGGATATTTTACAAACCCTAGGAAGCTCTTCATCTGAAAGTGAGCTCTTTACTGAGCATTTTCGATTTCTGAACAGCAAGGCCGTTCGGGCCTGTATGTCATAGAGCTCCTACGGATGATAAAGCAGGACTCACCTGTGTCCATGTCCCGTCACAGTGTTTACATATAAAACTCGTGAAAGTAATTTGGTGTGTTTCTTACTTGTTTTAGCGCTGGAATATCCCAACCTTGACATATCGGAGACAACCAGAGACTATTGGGTAATTACAGGTAATCTCTTATTTTATTTCCCCTTTCACCCTATCAGGTTGGTTGTTGTTGTTTTGTTTTGTTTTAAGCTGCATGTCAAAAAGAAAAAAATTAAAACTGCATGTTATTCGGTGATAGGATTGGCATCCTTTTTTGGTCCTGTCCTATGAGTCAGGGAGTTACTTTCACAGAACCAGGAGTGGGTTCTTGTTTTTCAAAAGCCTGACAGTAGTTCTAAAAAGCCAAGAAGCGAGGGTTGGCAGCAAAGAGAGAAGGCAGGTGTTTATAGGAGGAAAAGTGAGCAGGCCAGCCATAAACGGAAGGGCCAGGAGGGGAGGTGGTGGTCTGCTAGGACTGCCATGGAAAGGCCCCCAGACTGGGGTGGGTGGGGGCTTCAGAGTAAGCTGAAACGCGAAAACATGAACACACACACACACACACACACACACACACACACACACACACACACATCACCCTGAAGGTGAACATTAGATAGGCCATTCAAAATAGCAAGCTGCAAGGCCCAGCTAGTGGCCCCCTCTTTGCAGAAAGTGGACCGATCAGAAGGAACAGCATTTACCTGTGGATGTCGAGGGTGTGTCCATGTGAATGGTTGTCTGTGTCAAGACTGTAGGCCTTTCTGCACTGCCCTACAGAATGCCAGTGGGCGTCAGGGGAATGCCAACGTGCACTCTCCTCTCTCCCCGGGCACGAGGCCCACGCCCACACTAATCCTGCGGAGCCCAGGCGTGTCCTGACAGGGAGGGTGGGTGGAAGTAGAAGGGTGTTTGGGTGGCATTTTCTTTTTTTCCCTTGACATTTCCCAGCTGAGCTTTATGAAACAGCAAAACAGTTCTTGTTTTTCAAAAGCCTGACAGTAGTTCTGAAAAGCCAAGAAGCGAGGATTGGCAGCAAAGAGAGAAGGCAGGTGTTTATAGGAGGAAAAGTGAGCAGGCCCGCCATAAACGGAAGGGCCAGGAGGGGAGGTGGTGGTCTGCTAGGGCTGCCATGGAAAGGCCCCCAGTCTGGGGTGGGTGGGGGCTTCAACGATTCTAGAGGCTGGAAGTCCGAGATAAAGGTACCAGCAGGGTTGGTTTCTCCTGAGGCCTCTCTCCTTGGCTTGCAGATGGGCGTCTTTCCTCTGTGCCTTCACGTGGTCCTCCCTCTGTGTGTATCTGTGTCCTGATTTCCTCTTCTTATAAGGACACAGTCATACTGGATTAGGGTCCACTTATATGATCTCATTTTACCTCAATTCCCTCTTTAAAAGACCTGGCTCCAAATACATTCGCATTCTGAGGGTCTGGGGGTTAGGCCTTCGGCACCTGAATTTTGGGAGGAAACAGTCCCGCCCATAACAAGGAGGGAGGGAGGTCCTATAAAACATGGAAGATGTGCCTGGGCGAGCAAGCCCATCTAAAACCCGCTTCCTCCCTCCCGTCTCCTCCCTCACACACTGCGCAGGCGAGAAGGGCCACTGCCTACCCACGGACACAGGAGCACAGCCTTTTGAGGGGGCCTGCTCAAGACCTCTCCTAAATTGCAGAAAATTGCTTTTCTTTCTCTCCTGGGGAGCTATGGATATGCAGAGATTTTTTTTTTTTTTACCTGCTAAGTCAAACTAAAGAAATGTGTTTAAAAATTTAAAAAATAAACGTCACCAGAGTTTATGCCCAAGAGAGAGACAATGCTAACCCAGCAACACATTTTCCAAACCAGCAGGTTATGTAACATTTACAAAATCATTTCTTTTCTCCACCAGAAACGCTGCTTTTTAATTTGCAGAGATTTGCCCCCTTCTGTTAACTTTAAGGTTTTCATTGAATGGTAGCACATCCACTCTTGAATACTGCATGTCCGAAACGACCTCCTGTTTCAGCCTGCCCTCGTGTGCCTGTGCCTCTACTGTAGTGACATAACCTTAATAAGGAACTCCACACATGGTCTTGTTCTCAGGATCCTCCTAGAACCTAACGCCTGTCCCCCTACCTAGGGGGACATTTCTTATTGCTGCTGTGGCTGTTGGAGATCAGAAGAAACAGTGGCCTCCATCACAGTGTTTGAGGCAGTTGGATCAGTTAGTGCTTGCGGGGTGGGGTGGGGGGGGCGAAACCAGCCTTGGGACAATTTCAGGGTTTCCTCTGGCCTCAGCTCTGCTACATATGAACTGAGTGTGTCCTTGAGTCAGTCACTCAGACCCTGTGGGCGTCACACTCTCACCCTTAGAATCAGAAGATATGAGATGAACATTTAGGTCCTTTTGGCTCTGAATGTGTCGGATTCAACCACCAATAAAACAGTTCCGATCGAATACAGGAAGCTGAACCAGGCCTGATCATTGGAACTTTATAGGCCCAGCTGCCTCCTAAGGACGTAGTCTCTTTACACATAGAACAAGGAGGCACTGGGAGCTGTCCAGGTGCTGATTCCATGTAACCCTGTGGGAGGTTCCCACAACCTCCTACACTTCCCTGGAACCCCCTCCCCCTCCCTCCCCCCTCCCCCCCTCCCCCACACACAACTTTTACAATTGTGGTAAAATACACACAACATGAACATTTCCGTTTTGGCCATTTTTAAATGTACAATTCAGTGGCATTAAATACTTTCACAGTGTTGTACCACCGTCACTGCTATCTACTTCTGGAGCTTTTTCATCACCTGGCTATCCCTTTCTTTGACGTCCCTGGGATTCTCACAAAGTAATCAACCCATGATGAAGTCCTCCGTGTCCTGTGTCCTCTCTCCTACTCTGCCCATTGGTCAGGAGAGGCCAACTCAGAAGTAACCCTTCAGCGGTTGATTATGACATTTTACTAGAGGCGCAGCTCTGAATCGGCAAGAGCAGGGGCTCTCCTGTCTGGGGCCCAGGGGTAGGCTGTGTCAGGGGGATTCCGGGGGCTTCTGTGGGGCCTGCCCCAGTGGGAACAGCACCTGAGCCTTTTCTCTTTGTTGGCAGGAATTCCGCTGACAGCTGAGCTGGGAGTCCCTCACAAGGGCCCTAGAAAGAGAGCTGCTTTATGCCCTCCATGGGGATTATTTGGTATTTATGGCCTCAAAGAAGTAACTTCTGAGACTCAGCTGTGGGCTTTACTTCCCTCTCAATCAGTTAAAAATAATTCTCTGTATCTCAGTGTCCGTGGCTTGTTCTGGCCCTGAGCAGAATGTGATCATAACGGCACGTTCTTTATACCCAAGCTGTGTCCATATCCCAGTAGATGGCTGCCATTAATGGTCCTTAACTGGATCGTGGTAGATCAAACTCCCCAGCCCACGTAAGTTTTGGTTTCTTTAAGATAAGGATTGTTTTTAGCATTTTTTAATTTCCAGGATGGCTGTGTTTGAAGGCAGTGTTTGTGTGTTTGGGATGAAGTGTGCTTCCCAAGGGACTTGGAGGAAAGACTAGATTTGGGGGGTTGTCAGCAAAAGACCATCAGTCACTCCCATAGTAAGTGGCCACGGCAGTCCTAGTCCTGGTGTTCATTAAAATCCTTCCCCATGCACCAGCCACTGCCTGGAACTCCATCACCGATGCCTTGCCTGTTGATTGCAGATGCCCTGGAGTAGATGAAGCTCCGCCGTGGAGGACAATGGCAAGAGGAGCTTCGTGTGCCTTCCTTGCGCTGGGCACTGTGCTAAGCTCCCTATACACCTGGTCTCATTTCACCCATAGATCTCTTTAGGAGTATCCTTGTTGTGATGTGGACTTAACGCCCTTTCTACAGAGGAGGACTTGGACGCAGACAGGGCCAGTTGCTTGCTGAAAGTTTCACACTGGCAAGAGCTCTTGCTCTTTCTGTCCCACTGTCCTGCTCTCAGATGGAAGGGTACCCAAGGGGCCTGGGGCAGCTTTGGGGTGGCTCTCAAAGTGACCACAGAGGAGGGAGAGATGAGGACATGGAACAGGGTGGTTTGCCAGGTTGTAAGGGGCCAATGTGCAGGATGGAGCTTAGATTCCTCAGCAAAGCTGTTGAGGAGGAAAAATAAAATAATGGTAGCCTGGAGCCCGAGTTTCTGAGTGGGAACTAGTGGAAAATCCAGTTAGCCAGACCTGTATCTAGGCTGTGTTCCTGTATAAACTCTAACAACATGTAATCTTCAATAAGGTTTGGATTTACCACAGCAGTGTTAGACGTGTCTCAGCCCATGGAGGAGAGAGTCCAGGCTTTGTTTGGGTTTGAACCCCCACTTTCCTGGTTACTTGCTGTGACCTTGACAAGTCACTTAACCTTTCAGCATCTATAACAGTGGTTCCCAAACTTATTTGGCCTTCCGCCCCCTTTCCAGAAAAAATATTACTCAGCGCCCCCTGAAAATTAATTTTTTAAAAATTTTAATAGCAATTAAACAGAAAGATATATGTATTAATGTTTCTACCTTTTTCGTAAAATATAGTAAAGAAAGGTGTAAATTAGAAACATTGAAGTTTGAAATTATGAAACTATTTATTGAACTCAGAATAGAAAGGTAATACAAAAAAAGTTAAAACAAATGCACCTGTGGCCATCACCGCCCCCCCTGGATCGCTGCAGCGCCCACCAGGGGGCGGTAGCGCCCACTTTGGGAATCACTGATCTATAATCACATGTGGATAGCGATTCCTACCTCCTGGGGCTGTTGTGAGGGCAAAGTGAGGTCAGGATGCCAAGCCCTCACATGAGGTAGGGCCTTGGCGC